AGACTCAGTAGACCCTAAAATATGAAACACTGATGTTCTAGGCCTAGCCAAAAACAAACAGATTGAAGCCGTAAGTGACCCTCTTCCAGATTTAGAAACTGTTTGGGAAAAAGTGGTTTGGATCTTCAAAATCATGGTTATAATCTCTTTTAATGACTCCTTTAATGCTTAATTTCTTTTAATTTATATCTTTTCATAGACTCATCCTCTGACGCTTAACATCCAAGAGGGCTTAAAGGATGATGCTAAACAAAGTGACATTCGTTTACAGTTCTCCCAACAGAGAAGGGACAGTCAGCCAGGTGTTTTACTCCTTCCCCAGGCAGGCCTACTTCCCATCTCAGCAGGAAGCAGTTAATGATCAGTTGTCACCCCTTACTCCCTTTTAAGCATAAAATGGTAAACACCTGGAGGGGGGAATGATAGGGACAGAGTAAAGGGACAAAGCAGGTGATTAAATAGTTAATCAATCCCACTAGGGGATTGTAAGTAGAAAAAATATGGGAGATCCCTGTAAGTTAATGATTACTCAAGAAAGGAGGTTTGCTTAACCACAAAACCAAGCAGCCTTGCTTAGCAACAAAACCAGGCAACAGAAGCATGAGACACGCCCCGAAACAATAAAACAATGGTGGAATGAGACCCACATCCTGCCCAGTGAGCTCAGTAAGTTAATGATCCCTAGGACATGCTCTCTGCACACATAAAAAACAATAATTTATAGAAAGGTGCTCATTGTATAGAGACCTGAAATACTTTTTTACAGTCCTGGCTTGACGATGTAGGGACAAAAAAACTCCCCTGCCCAACCTGGAGGAGGAGCTGATGATGGAAGCATGACGTCTACTCAAAAATGAAGAACAGGGCCTCCCTGGTGGCACAGTGGTTGAGAGTCCGCCTGCCAATGCAGGGGACACGGGTTCGTGCCCTGGTCCAGGAAGATCCCACATGCCGCGGAGCGGCTGGGCCCGTGAGCCACGGCCGTTGAGACTGTGCATCCGGAGCCTGTGCTCCGCAACGGGAGAGGCCGCAACAGTGAGAGGCCCACGTAGCGCCAAAAAAAAAAAGAAGAAGAAGAAAGTGGTCTTTTCCCCCTCCCCACTTTTCCTTTGATTATAAAACTGCAGCCCACTAAGTTCTCGGGGTGTGGCACCCTCTCACCCGCCCGCTTGTAAGCCTCACAAGCATCCTATTCTAATAAATCACTTATCTCTCACTTTGCCTCTTGCTGAATTCTTTCTGCATTGAGACATCAAGGACTGGGCTCTTCAGAGTCCCCTGATACCACATCTATCAGTTTCAGGAGGACTGTCTACAATTCCAAAAGTCATGGCAGTGGTTGTGGGCAGATGCTGTTCTCATTTAAGTTTCAGGGTAGAGAGTATGCTCAAACAAAATAACAGACTCAGAAACTCAGCCTTCATCTGCATCTCCCCACAAAATCCAGCTCCAAGGCTCTTTTCCCCATCAAGCACAAAAAGCATTCTGATGGCAAGTCTGATGATTGCTCTACAGTAATGAGCCCACCAAGGGAGCTAGAAGAGGCCCAGCTGCAGAGGCCCAGCTCCCAGCTAGAAGAGGCACTCCCATTGAGGGTGACAATGGCAGGACAAGGTCTAGGACTAGTACTTCTGCATCAAGCTGCAGAGCAAGGTCTGGCTACTCTGGAAGTTCACATTTTCTCTGTGTCTCCCCTGAGTTCCATTCATCAGAGATAGGACCACATACACTATTCTTATTCCTCATTTAAATCTCCTTAAAATGATGAAAAGCTAAGGAAAAGGTGGGATATTTCCCTCAAATCTATAGAAATACACACTGACAGGCTTCTAAGAAGTATAACTAAGAATCACATCACATAGATAATTTCTACTTTGGGGACAATTTAAGTGCTTGATATGCCTACAGAAACACATTGTTCCAAAGGCCAAGGCAATGTCTAATGAATTTAAGTCTGAGATGTCTTTATTGAGTTTGAGAATCCAGATGAAAAGACATCGAAACTGTTAAAAGGTAAACTGAGGCATATTAAAAATTTTAAGAGTTTATTTGAACATTTATCTATTCAAACGGTCCAGAACCAAACTGGAAATGGTTAGGAACACACCTTGGACAGGAGCCAGGTAAAAGATATATGAAGAAAGTGTGAAGCAAAGTAAAATAAATTATTTGATTGGCTATAGCTTAAAGCCTAGTTGGCTATTTGTGACTAGTTATCCTTAGCACTCTGATTTCCTAACCTTGAGGCAGTTACAAACTTAGATTTGGGTTTGCTTATTTAGGCTGCCACAGCACAGAATCACATCAGTCTAACGTTCTCCTCATTTAATTAATTTAACAAACATATGGAGGAGGATGGCTGTGTGATCAGGAGGCCCCCTCCAACAATGCTGACCCTTGGCCTAAACGTCTTACCTGTCTCCCAGACACACAAGACACCCTATGAAGACCCATATCCCCAAAGAGTACTCTTATCCTAGGGCCAGTGCAGCCTCAGGAGCTCTTTATAGTCCTCCCTTGAATCAGGGTTGCAAGAACTCCTGCCTCTCTGTAGCAGATCCCAACCAGAAAAATACTGTAATGTTTATAACTGGGGGAGGATAGGTAGGAAAAGTCCATGCCAGAAGGCTGGATCAGCAAGGGCTGCCACTTTAGAACTTTCCTCATCCCCAGAGGCAGGCATACAAATCTTTAACTGAAGTGCTTATCGGATATGAGTCTATTTGTTTGGGCTGCAGAAGAGTGGTGTCTCTGGGTTACTGTTTATCACTGCCCTCCAGTTCTGTGTCCTTAAAAGTGAGCTCATCTGTTTCCAACTTCTGAAAGAGTAAGTTGCAAAGTCAGCTGGAACAAGTAAGTTTCAGGATGCTACTGCTCTGTCTCCTCCTTGGAGCATGTCTTTTATTTTCACATAAAATATCCTAAGCTGAGTCTAGGGACCTGATTGAAAACATCTGCCTGTTAGTCTGTCTGTTACTTTAAGAAAGGAAGAAGTTTATGCAGGTAAAGTTTCTATTAGGACTAGAACTGCTATACCTTTAAGTCCCCTTCTGACTCCTATATACATATACATATGTATGTATATATAACATTTATATATGGAATATATATTTATGAATATTTGTATATTTATATAATATTGCCATATAAGAAAAATATTTACTTTTTGTCTCTAGTTCCTGGCACAAAGTTCCTAAAACCCTTGGAATTTCCTGAGTGGCGTCTTTTCTCATTCATAAGGAGCCCCCTTTGAATGCACCAGAGTTTATACTAATGAGGGGACTTTTGTAAAGTCCCAAAGAATGGGGGCTGGTTGCCAGAGGAACCAACCACCTGATTAGTGGGTTGGAACTTTTAGCCCCACTCAGATCTCCAGGGAGGGGAGAAGGACTAGAGATTGAGTTCAATCACCAATGGCCAATGATTTCATACATCATGCCTATGTAATAAGACCTCCATAAAACCCCAAAAGGACAGGGTTCAGAGAGCTTCAGGGTTGGGAAATAAGTGGAGGTGAGGGGAGAGTGGTGCACGTATAAAAAAGGCATGGAAGCTCTGTGTTCTTTCCCACATACCTTGCTCTATTTATCTGCTCAATCTGGCTGTTCCTGAGTTATGTCCTTTTATAAAAAACTGATAATTAGGTACGTGAAATGTTTTCCTAAGTTCTGTGAGTCACACTGGCAAATTAATCAAACCCAAGGAAGGGGTCTTGGGAACCTCTGATCTATAGCCAGTGTAGGGAAGCAAAAATTTGTCACCCCAAAATGTGTCTCTTTGACATGGAGATTTTTTTTTTTTTGCGGTACGCGGGCTTCTCATCATGGTGGCTTCTCTTGTTGCGAAGCACAGGCTCTAGGCACGTAGGCTTCAGTAGTTGCAGCACACAGGCTCAGTAGTTGTGGCTCACGGTCTCTAGAGCACAGGCTCAGTAGTTGTGGCACACGGGCTTAGTTGCTCCACAGCACGTGGGATCTTCCCGGACCAGGGCTCAAACCTGTGTCCCCTGCATTGGCAGGCAGATTCCTAACGACTGCGCCACCAAGGAAGTCCCGACAAGCTGGACCTGTGATGGGCTTCTGAAGTGGGGGTCAGCGAGCTTACAGAACTGAGCCTGCAACCTCTGGGCTCTGATGCAAACTCCAGATAGATAGTGACAGAACTGAGTAAAGTTATAGGACACTCAGGGGTCGCAGAGTTTCTTGATGTGTGGAAAATCCACATGTCTGGTGTCACAAGCCAAGTAGTGTTGTAGTAGAATACTGAGAGCAAACGCGAACAGGAGGAAGTGTGTGTTTTCCTTTACAAATATAAAACGAAATTTCCCAGGGCCTTGATCCCTCTGTCTACAACTGAACAGGCTGTGAGCTACTTTTGTAAATTTATTAAGGACCACCCCGTTGCCACCACCACGGGAGACAAGATATCACAGAATCACTGCTGAGGTTTTAAAGAAAGGTGCTGAAAGACTAACCCAATTCCCTAGAATACTAAAATTCAAATGAGAGACTTGCCCATAGTCAGTCAGTAAGTGATTAAATGGGATAATACATGTAAAGTGCCTGTAACCGTGCCTGGCACAGAGCGCTATCCATTAGTTGGCTATGATTAACCCCTTCGATCAGATATTCTAGCTGCAGGCTCATAGCATCCCACACACTCGCTGCGTCTGGATTATACGAACTGCTTTGAATTGATAATCAAGTTTAAGGTTTTCACTTGTGTAATGCATGTCTGTTAACTCTGAGTACGATTTTAATGTACATTCTCGGATTTGGCCGCTTGGTGCCCTTTTAGCTTTAAAAAGGAAACACCGCAAATCAGTATTTTGGGTTCAGTAAGTTTTTCTCGGTGTTTTTTTTTTTTTTTTTCCTGTTACAACTGCTACGTATTTTGATAATAGGAACTCCTTTACCTGAAGAACTCCCTTACAGGTCAAGGTGACCGCAATCCTTCCCGTTTCACGTTACTCGAAAAGCTCCCACCAACCGGTCATCCTGCTGATGTCACTGCGCATGCCTGCCTGTGACAGGACGCTCGGGAATGACGTCAGGCCCCCGCGGGTCCGCGCTCTCCGGAGCGCCATGCTGGGCGCGTCAGGCACGGGGCTCGTGCGGGCCCTGCGGGCAGGGACGCAGGTGTGGCTGTGGGGCTCGCGCGGCCGCTCCCTCACCTTGCCGCACGCGGCTCGTGGGCTACACGCGGGAGACTGGCGGCCCTCAGCCGGGCGGGGACCGCTCGAGCGGCGGCCGAGCCTGCCTGCGGCGGCGATCGTGAACTCGGCGCCCCGCCCTCTGCAGCCCTACCTGCGCCTCATGAGATTGGACAAGCCCATAGGTGAGTGTGGACGGATGTGGCGGTCCGGGGGCTGCGGGCGCAGTGGAAGTGAAGCCCGAAAGCCGGGGCTTGGCCGCCAGGTGCCGAATACCGTCAAGACACCCGAACAGAGCTATCTCCGAGGTAACCGGCCGGCTGTCAAGCCTCTCTGAATCCTGAGCACGTGAGCTGGGCAAAAAATTCGCTCATTCCACAGTCCGTGTTTAAGTAGTGAATCGAGCAGAAATTCCGTACCTGTATCTCTGCATTTGCGCAGATTTACAGTGTGGAAACACTTCTACGTTCATTATATTTCATCCTTCCCATAATCCCAGAGCAAGTAATTGAGACGATAAAGACGCTGAGGAAATTAAGGCTCTTTGGCAGAGCCAGACCAGATGATGCTGAGGTTTTTTTAGCTCTTTGCCCTGCACCATCCGTCACACAAAGATTTAATTCATTTGGATGCTGCAGGTACAGCATTTATGGACTACTTATCAGCTCACAGTCGCCTCCTAAGGGAGGATTTTGCTGAACTTCCTATTTAAATTCACCTCTCTCCTCAGTCTCTCTTTACCCTCCATTTTTCTTCATAGCATTCGCCACTAGCCGTATGCATTTATTGGTTGATACACTTCTCCAGTACAGTATAAGCTCCACTTATATGGGACTTTTATATCTAGTGTCTAGAACAGCCTAGCGGTAGTATTGAATGAATTAAGTCCTACAGCATTGCGTAGCCTTAGGGCTAGAAAGAGCTATGGAAACTTTGTACTTTCAAAGAACTCCCAGTCTAGTTTAAAAAGAGTATTGTGTGAGTTGGAGAAGATTCGGTTAATAGTATTATGTATGTTAAGAAGATACAAGCCTGCTTGCTTTGGTTCTAAATAAGGTGACTGCAGGATTTTCAGACAACTTATGAATAGTACTATCAGAATTCATTCAGCAAACATTTTTTGAGCCCTTACTGTATGCCAGGAACAATAAATTGACAGTAGTAGAATTCCAGGTTCAATACTTCTTTACTTAAATTCTTCTTTTGTGGGGTAATTTTATGTTTATTGTTTTATTTTGTTGAATTTTGATCTTGTTAAAAAGTGGGTTTCGTTGTTTTTCAGAAAGGATTACAACTTCCTACAACCATGTCACAAACTACATTATTTCAGGAGGTTTCAGCAGGTAGCACTTTTTCCACTAAATTGGTGGTATAACTGGTTTTACCACGTTTATGGCTGAAACTGCATTTATGTTTTCTTTTTTTTTTTTTTTTTTTTTTTTTTTTTAGTATGTGGGCCTCTCACTGCTGTGGCCTCTCCCATTGCGGAGCACAGGCTCCGGACGCGCAGGCTCAGCGGCCATGGCTCACGGGCCCAGCCGCTCCGCGGCATGTGGGATCTTCCCGGACCGGGGCATGAACCTGTGTCCCCTGCATCGGCAGGCAGACTCTCAACCACTGCGCCACCAGGGAAGCCCGCATTTATGTTTTCTTGAAGACAATGTGTAATTAGTGAATGAATCTTAGCCTCAGTTTACACAAGCTCTTTGGTCTGCCCATCACCTCTCAGAATGCTTACTCACTTTATAATCTCCCAGAGGGTTTTTACTTTTTCTATAATAAGTATATCTTTCTGAAACCTATTGTATCCTCCCACCTCTGCATCTTTCTTCATGGGAGAGAACAGAATGAAAGTGTCATAGGGGAGACCAAAAAATGTTGGTGAGAATCAGGAGGGCAAAAGAACAATAAGAACTCATGGGTGTTTAGAGCTTTAGGTATCCAGAGTGATAGCCTGGAGCCAAACTGCTTGGATTTGAATTCCAGCTCTGCCATGTTTTTGCCTGTGTGACCTTGGACAAATTACTGTCTCTATGCTTCAGTTTCTGTGTTTGTTAAATGGGTATAATAGAAGTTGTGCCTATCTCATAGGTTTGTTGTGAGAATCAAAACTATTGTAGGACAGCACCTGGCACAGAGTAAGCACTATGAATTTGTTATTGTTTTCATTATCACCATTATTAATATTGTCATAACAACTCTAAGAGGTAGATGATGTTCTTTCCCCTCTTTTGTAGATGAGGAGTGCTGAGGCTTCAAGTTTAATATACTTTAGTGTCTAGTGTCACTTACTAGGAGCAGACATTGAACCTTCACTGCAGGAACCCTCCTCATCTATAGGGGTGCCCTGCAGATTCCTATCAGTGAATACTGTACCTAAAATGCAGACTTACAGCCAAGGAAATTTTGACACTGACACAAAATGCTATAGGTGGTTACACATCTTTCTCTAGAATTCTTTTTTAAATAGCGCCTTCATTTCTACTTGTACCAGGAAAATGCCTGTGAAGTAGTGATCTTTTTTTTCTGTCAGGGCAGGATCAGCTAGCTACTCCTCTGTCCCTCTGAGCTATACTGATAGGTCCAGGGAAAAGGAAGTGGTTAAACCCATTGTGTTTTAACCTCTTCGTGCATCTGTTTCCTCATCTGTAAAATAGGAATAATAATAGTGCCTACTTTATAAGGGTGTCTTTGAGGATTAAATGAGTTTGTATATATAAAGCATTTAGAACACTGCTTGACATTTCACAAACATTTAGAAAATAGCATTGTTGTTATTGTTTTAGATGGGACACACTGAATATGAGTCTGCCCAGGACAACCTGAATTCAGGTCTAGACTGGTCATTTCTGATTTTTAGCCTCTCCTTGCCTTGCCTTTTCTGTGTGTTTAAGCCCCTTTTGGAAAAGACTTCCTGAGTTTTTCCTACTCCATCCCCCATTAACTTGGGTGGCATTGTTTTATGCCTTTATAGCATCGTGTACTTTCCCTGTTGTTGAATTGATCTATTTCAGTGTTATTTATTTAACCGTGTTTCTTCCTTTGCTTTATAAGCTGTGTGAAGGCAGAAATCAGCCCTCACTTAGTCACCATTGTATTCCCAGTTCCTGGAACAACTCTGGTACAAAATATGTGCTTTATAAATATTTGCAAATGAATAAAGCTTAAATTTAATGAAGCTTAAACATAATCATAATGACTTTGTCATTTGACCATTTTTGTACAGGATCGATTTTTCTTTAGCCAAATGTCCTATTTATTCCACTTTTTGAGGAGGAAGAAATTATCCTCTACCCTTCTAAGTTAAGTCTAAGAATTAAGTTGACATGAGACAGATTAATAGGAAAAAATCAAACAAAAATTTAATAGCATGTGTGGGTGAGAGAGACCCAGGAAGACTGAGTAACTCACCAAAATGGCCAAAATACCCTCACCTTAAATATCTTCAGCTAAAGACACAGCAGGATATTGGGGGTAGTGGTTTGGGAATTAAAAGGGGAGGAAGGTAATTCACTGGAGATAGAAAAGTAAATGTTTGGTAAATGGTCGTCTCTGGTCTCTAGGCCCTATCAAGTTTCCCCACCACACCTAGCCCATATTTTTGGCAGATATCTGATGATAGGTCTACTCTGGTAACATTCTTGAAAATGTTCTTGAATCTTCTGTTTCTTAAAAATAATTGGCCTAAATTAATCCTCATGCCAAAGGGACACATTTGTGGGGTGGCACTCTTATATTGCTAATATACACTCTTATATTACGAATAGAAAAGAAAAGCTCAGAATTTATCTAATAGGTACAATATCCAAATATTTGTTGAAAGATTTTCTTTTGAAAATAGGATATCTACTACAGGTTATGTGTGAAGACTCCTATCCCTACAATTTATTTGGTTTTAGCTTAATTTCATCTAGTTTATGGGCTGAGTACCAAGAACTAATCCCATTTATGCATGTAGTAGCAAAATATTTTAAAAAAAACAATAGGTTAATCCTTCTTTCCCCCCCAAACCATTTTATTATATTATATTAACAATAAAGAAAGTTTTATTAAAGTTTTTTGAGGAGGTAATACATGCAGATGATACAAAATTTAAAAAGGTATAAGGGTATAGAGTGAAAACTAAGTCTTCCACCCCTTTTTCCCAACCAACCAGTTTTCTTCCCCAAAGGCAACTCTCAGTATCAGTTTCTAATGTTTCCTTCCTGACATAGTTTATGAACATACATTCAAATGTATGTATTTGTTTTATATGTGTATGCATTTGCGTATACACACACACACACACACACACACACACACACACACACACACACACA